CTTTGCTGGGCTGGAATGGAGCAGGGGCACCAGGGCCTCCTGGGAGCTGGGACGCTCTCTGTCTTGCTTTGGGTGGTGGTGACCCGGGCTTGTGCACGTATCAGAGTTCATCAGGCTTCCCACAGTGTTTGTATCCTTCACAGCTTCCGTGCTAGACCACAAAAAAAAAAAAAAAACGAAGGTTTTACACCCAGAAACGTACTTTTTCTGACACATAACCTGATGTATTTCAGAGAATCCGAGAACTGGAGGACAAACTGGAGTTTCAGAAGCGGCACCTGAAAGAGCTGGAGGAAAAGGTGGGTGGCTGGCCTCAGACCGTTCCCAGGTTTTTTTCCATGAAATGTTAGTGCGGTGCCATTTTATTTCATAATGTCCAAAGCATATACTCTGTCTCCAGCCCTCCTTCCTCTGCCCTTCTCCCCCAAAATCAGCACCTCCAGGAAATTGGTACTTCCTCCAGATTCCTTTCTGGTGAAGAAATTTCCTTCTCAGTGGCTGTCAAAAATTCTGCACTCCAGGGCCAACTCTGTGTGTCTTTTTCACAAAAGACGTTCCCTGAATCCCTCTCCTGCTGTCTCAGCAGGAAAGAGGTGGAGCAGGTTAGGCCGATGAGCTTGGTGGCATCCCCCTAACCGCAGACACAGGTTCTCTTCCATGGACTCATCCATTTTTCAATACCTTCTACATGCCCCAAACCAGTCACATGTTCCTGGAAGATGGAGCCTCTCCCATCCTAGAGGACATGAGGCTGGCCTCTCACTGGGTTTTTGGGTGTGTTCCACCAGCCCATTTACCATGATGCCCATTTTATGGGTGAAGAAACTTAGGACACCTGTACATGGTCCCACAGCAAGGAAGGGAAGACTGGGGTCTCCATGGACATCATAGCTGCCCCCCCGCCCCTCCATATGACACTGGTCCAGTAAGACACGTGAGACCTGCTCGGGACACATGGGAAGCAGTTTTATCTTGGCATTGCCCTTCATCTTCTTCCGCTGATGGCTGAATCCTTGAGGACACAGACCACATGGTACTCATCTCTCCATTCAAGACGGTTTTTGCCACAGGATAGGGCATCATCAAACGTGTGTGGATGAGTAAGCAAATGATTATAGATGAGTACTGAAAAACAATAATTGCATATTTAATGTCACAGAGGTAAGTTCAAGTGTGGGAACAAGCTGGAGGACCGCTGAACCCATCCAGGAGCTCTGGGAACCAGCAGATCTGTACCCGAAGAGGGGTTCCCGTCTGAATCTCATAGGCCGATTCGAGATCAGCCCTGGGGAGAGGAGGTAGAAAGGGCGTCTCTGGACTTCACATGTCTGAGGCCAGTCTTCTGAGAAAGGAAGCTGGCTCATTTCAGGGACACACCAGGACAGAAGTCTCTGGAAGGCAGATTCTGGGGTGGTCCAAAAATGGGATGACAGCCTTCCTGGAGGGAATCAAATCATGTGCCCAGAAAGAAGGGACAGCTCTTAAGATTCCACCCCCATTTTAGATGCTTCCTCTCCCTTCTCTCATGAGAGGTAGCCCCACACAGATGAAATCACCTTCCCATCTCTGCTGGGGGCGTAGGGCCCTCCCGGCTCTTGCAAGAGGACTGGGGATCTGTGCACAGGGGCAGAGGCGGGGCAGGGCTTGCCCCACAGTTCCGTGGTTGCCCTCATGGGAATGCCAGTTTTAGGTGATTTCTAGAGTCCCCATCTGCCTGATGTCCACTCCCACCAGCCTCCCAAGGATATTTTGAGAACCCAAGGGGGTCTCAAGAATAATTGAATTTAAGAATTACTTGAGGGGTGGGCTGGCTTTGCAGGCAGATGAGCCTGGGCTCTCCTCTGGCCTTACCCAAGTGGCCCCAGAGAACCTAGGGAATTCATCCCTCTGCCCCAGAGAAATTCGCCCCTCTGCCCCAGGCCTTGGCATTCTCATGTGCTGCTAGGAATGGCGCTCTGTCTCTGAGGGTGGGTGTAGGGATGAAATTAGGTTGAGAATATGAAAGTCCTCAGCCCAGGGCCCAGGCAACGTGGGCAGGCTGCCAGCACGGGGCCTTCCCGTCTCCCAGGTGGCTCTACCCCTTCTGTTGGTAAAATAGGTCACAGAGCCAGATATGGCAGAGGAAAGGCTTAAAACCTGACCAGGGTCACCCTTGCCGATTAAAATGTTACAAGTCAGGCAGAATGAGCACACATCTAGAATAACACTCACTACTTCCTCAGCAGTGAGAACACCTGGGCAATGTTCGAGTCGTCTTTCTGGCTCTTTTTTGACTCTTTTCTCAAAGCCAGTGTTTGTGGACTGGTCTGTCTCCTTTTGCCATAGAAGGGAGTTTCGGAGGCTGACATGTAGAACAGGAGGGACTGACCAGGATGGATGCCTGATGAGGCCTGTAGGTCTGCGAACCTTCCAAGATACCTCATGCCACTTTCATTTCCTTACAGGCATTGAGGCCTATGGCAGTGGAAATAGCTCCAGCCACCCCTCTCCCTGACTCCTTTGTCATGGCCAGAAACTCTTTCCTGCCACAACCCACTGGATGGTCTTGATGAATCCTCCCCTCTCCGCAGCCTCAGCTTCCCCATGTGGAAGAGGAAGGGCTGGGTGACTGCCAAGGCCCCTTCTCGTTCTGACTTCCAGTGACGTTACACCTTGTTTAGAAGTTGATGGCTGTTAGTTTGGACTTTTCCAATAAATAATATAGGGAGATACTACCTTGCTCTGGCGGGGAAACAAGCTCAAGGACTATTTTCAGAAGCCCCAGTTGATGTTCAGATGACTTGCAACTCCTTTTGAGCAAAGCAAGTCTTTAACAGGTTAAGAAAAAAACTCTGCTTTTAAGTTGACCTGTGTAATTTTTCCTTCCATTAAGACCATTTTTTCCCTGATTGCTTTTTCTCTATAAGTAGAATAATCAAATGGCAATAAAGATTTTAAACAGTGACTCCCTTGGAAGAAAGAACCCTGGTAAAGATGGTGTAGGGCCAGGTGTCCAATCTTTTTACTTCTGTGGGCCACATTGGAAGAAGAATTGTCTCGGGTGGTGTGTAAATTACACTAACACTAACAATCGCAGGTGAGCTAAAAATAATTGCCAAAAAATTTTTCATAATGTGTTTTAAGAAAGTTGACGGATTTGTGTTGGGCCGCATTCAAAGCCGCCCTGGGCCACATGGGGCCTGCGGGTGAAGGGTCAGACGAGCACGGTGCAGGGGGAAGGGCGCTACTTGTCTGCAAGTTTGGCCCGGGCCACCTTTAGTGGAATTTACCCTGATCTTTGGTGCACACATCACGCCGCCATCTCTCGGTGGGAGCCCCAGACCATGACTATGGGCTGAGCCTTCCTCTATTTATCCCGGCCTGCCCAGGTTCTGCAGGAAGACCACATCACAGCAGCACAATGTCCTGTCCTGGTCTGAGCTAGCCACATGTTTGGGGAGTGGGTCAGGATAGCCCACCCTGAGCATGGAATGCTGCAGGATGCGTTTCCCGGGGGAGATCAGTTCCTAAAGCCCATTTACTTCCTGTTTCTCCTTCCAAACTCAACAACTCATAGTTCTTGCAAAATGTGTTCATTGAGTTCCATACTACATATCTTACATCTGTTTTCTTCTCTTTTTCTTCTCTTTTCCTCGTTTTCTTTTGGTATTATTTTATAGTTTTTGTTCCTTTTTTTGTTTTTCTCACTAGCATTCATTCTGTGGCCTTGATGACTTCAGTGAGCCAAGAACTCGGGTTGGTACCCTTTCCTTTTCGCAGATGAAAATGATGATTTTTCTAAAACGGGAGGATTCCTCTCAGTCCCTGACTGTCCTGCTCCTTGAGAGATGAGGCACTGTGGAAGGTGGCCTTGTGGTGGATGCCTCAGCTCATGGGTCTGGGTCACCAGGAGAGACCCACCCCCAGGAGGGGGATCAGGAACACTCACTGTGAATGAGAAACTCCTCTGTGGAGTTTCATCCGCAAAGGGGGACTCTGTTTTATTCCAAAGGTTCTTTCCAGTCTGGCTTCAGTCCCTGGTGCTCTCTGCTGCTGTGTGGGCTGGTGGGTCCTCTGTAGGATCCAGGGCTGTTGGCTTCCACAGCTAAGGGCTGCAGAAGTTTGCTGGACAAGCGGCTCATGAGCCCAGACTGTCACTTGCACGCAAAGTGCCCAGGGAGCCTGCGTAAGAACCCACCTAGCTCCCTGCCCCTCTGACCCCTGTCCTCTGCTGGGTTTTGATGCCTGTGCTGAGCTCAGGGACCTCTGGAACAAGGCCATCTCAGCATCTCGTCCTCCCCTGACCACTGAGCCCTGTGTGTCCCCAGGACCCAGCTCCCACCCTAAACACCTGGACCCTTCCACATTCTCCCTGGAGTGCCCATCTCAGGGCCAGGGGCGCCAGGACCTTTGAACTCTAGAGTTCTGTCCCTGAATCCAGCCCAGACCAAGGGCCCTCTGGGTTCTGGGGATACCTACAGCACCCACTAGCTCCCTGGACCCTTTGGGCTTAGCTCTGAGGCCAGAGCCCTGCCTGATGTCCTCATGGGCATCCCTGAGGCTGACCCCAGTCCACAAGGCCTTTGGTCTGGTACCTTCTGTAGCCAAGTGTCTGGGACAGTGCTGGGCACATGGTCAATATTCATTCAATGTTTATGGACTGAGTAAAGAGGATCTCAGGTCTTAGAGGACAACTGACAGTCAGATCCCATCTGATCAGAGGAGGGGGTGGCCATTGGGGGTGGGTGGGTGTTGGGGATGGGGGATCTGATCCTGTTGCTGCCGCTTTTCCTGGGTCATGGGGGAAGGTCCCTCAGGGCTCAGCTGAGGCGTTCAATGAGGGCAGGGGGGCAGATAAAGCCAAGGGATCCTCCAGCCATTTTAACCCTTGGTTCTTGTGTCGTTTCAAATTATGTTTTACTCTTACAGGATAGAAAAAGAGTTTATGGAACAAACTGAGTCCCTTTGGCAACCCCACCCCCACTCAAACCAAATTCAACAGCGAAACAAGCTATTCAAAGTCCAGAGACTGCAAACAGAATTTATGTATATTTGACAACAGCTTTAAGGGGAAGCCTTTGGACACATGGCTGGGTCCCGGCCAGCCCAAGCCCTAAGAACTCTGCAGGGATTTTGTCACATTCATGTCCCAGCTCTGGCACCTTTAAGAGCCCAAGGGGGCAGAGACCTAAATGCCAGGAAATTAAGTGCAATTACTAGAAACCAAGGGATCGGCAGCCACCACACTGTCTGGGGACTGGCTCGAGTCCTCGTCCCCACGCCAGATGCCTCCCCAGGCCGAGGTGTGCGTGTCCAGCTGGACCTGGGTGGGTGTCGTCTCTGCTCTGTGTACATAAATCTCCATGAACCGTGCTGTGTTCGTCTGGAGTTTGTCTGCTGGAGCGACTTGCAAGTGTCCTTGTAATGTGAACCCCAATTCAAGTCCTGGTCAGCAAAACCTTGGAATCTGTGCACAGCTGGATTTAGCAGCTGGCGGCCAGACAGAGAGAACAGGACTCTGATGAGGGGCTGCAGCCTTGCCCATCATGGAGAAGTGGATCCCAGGGACCTCAGATTTCTTAGGGGAGGCCGAAGGCTCTGTCACTCTTGTCGGTGTGACATGGCAAAAGTCCTAGAGCATGCCTATCCCTGGGACCAGTTGGATTGAGGACTGATAATGCAGACATGACCATCAACCAGGCACACTTGGGCCTGCATTGCATCTTGGTGGTAATTTGCAAGAGATTGCCAAGGAAGAGACGCTGGAACACCTGCAGGGACCAGGTTATTTCCGTAGTGGTGCCAAGACCGGGTCCTGCTCTCACCACTGTGGGGAGAAAATGAGCTCTTCCTGCCTTGGGAGGCCACCCCTGGGTAGAGCCAGGAGAGCTGTCAAGGTGTTGGAGACCTCCCTGGACAGTGGATGGAGGTGGGGAGCCACAGAGAGCTGGACGCCAGCTGGGGACGGTCAGCCCAGGAGGAAATTCCCAAAGTTCCTTTCCGATGATGTTCCTGTTGTTATTGGAGGCTGGCTGGGGTGGGGGCATCGCCAGAAGAAGCCACCTGCTCACAGGATGCCTCTCCCAAACTTCTGCACAAGAAGACACTTGGAATTAGAATAGACAGAGTGAAGTAGAGGACTGAGTGTGACTAGGAGGCTGGCCGTGTCTGCATGGGAAGAGCCAGGTGGAGGCCAGGCTGGCCGTATCTGCATGGGAAGAGCCGGGTGGAGGCCAGACTGGGCGTCCTCAGCTGGCTGCAGGTGGACAGGCTCACACCCTGCTCATTGGGTGGAAGGAGCAGTTCTGTGATCTCCAGTGAGATGGACCTTTAAATGGGAAATGACTGAAATTTAGGCATTGAGGGAACTCATGGGGTGAGGGAGACAGAGGAGCTGGACGTTCTCAGAAGGCTGGATCCACGGATAGAGGACACAGTGCCCCGCGCAGAATGGGCCCTGGCAGCTGGGAAGAGCTGTTCACACCACATCCTGGGATCCCAACCCTCCCCACACCACATCCCAGGATCCGGCCAGGGGAGGGCTGCTCACACCACCTCCCAGGATCCGGCCAGCAGGGAGGGCTGCTCACACCACCTCCCAGGATCTGGGCTCTAAGCGAACATGCACCAGGACGGCCCAGCATCGTCTATTCTCTTTTGAAATCAAAACCCCAAAGCGCCTGCTAGCTCAGCCTCCGTGACTTAACAACACTTGGTGGTGAAATACTAGCAAACGGATGTCGTTAGTTGAAAGCACAGGCATCCTAGCAGCCCAGGCGGCGACGGGAGTGTGGGATCGCACCGTGAGTGACAACAAAGGCACGGGAAGCACTGGAGGCATTGCTGTGCTCACTTCCGCGGGCAGAAGTCTAGGGGTGCCCAGGGGTCTCTGGAATGTCGGTTCAGCACCCCTGCAGCCACCGCAGGAGTGCGGTCCTCACGCCTGCCTGTCCTCGTCCTTCAGCGGGTAAAGGGCAATGTCTGCGTCTGCTGGGCTCTCCCATCATATCATGCAACAGAAATGGCCTTGGCTTTGAAGTCAGACCCATTTGTCCCTGCCAGCCTGGCCTCTTCCTGCTACAGACACTGGCACTGTCCTTGCCGCTCTGAGGAATGGTAGCAATAGTTCACCTGCAAGGCCTTGGGAGGGGGTCTGAGCTGGATGGTTAGACTCGCAGGCCCCCGCAGGCCCCCGCAGGCCACAATGGCTGCTGGTGGGAGACACAGCCTCTGCTGTTCTCGCCTTGGGAATTGTCCTCCGAGGAATCCATACAGCCGGCCAGGGGCCAGGACCCGTTCTCTTTGGCTCCCTGGGAGGCAGCGCAGGAGGAAGCCTGAGGCTCACACGGGCAGGTACGGGGGTTTCCCTGGATAGATATCAGAGTCCCTGTTAGGAACCAGCATCTCTTGTCACAGTCCCAGCCGTAGCTTCTGGCTCCCTGTGAGGCACAGTCCTGGTTGCAAGGACTCCAGTGTGCAGGGAGCCTGAGAGCTGTGCTGCGCCTGGGTGCATTCACCCCTCACCCACAGCCCTGTGTCCCGGTCAGGTGCATCCGTGAGGGCTTTGGATGCTCTTGCCTAGTAACATGTATGTGGTTTCCAGGGCAACAGAGTTACAAAGTCTGGGGAAGCCAAGGTGACTTCCTCATTTTAGCGCAGGTCAGCTGGGAGGGTCATCGGAGAGCCCACCCTGAAGGTTCCTAGTACAGAGATACCCGTGGTGCAAACACAGGTTTCTACTTCTCGCCCCATACCTCAGTCCTCTGTAGGCCAAAAGTGACCAGGGAGGAGCTGGGGCAGGGAAGTCAAGGGATCGGACTGCGTTCTGGCATTGCCACCCTGGCAGCCTCCTGGGGGCTGAGCAGCCAAGGTCAGGGCTGGGGCCGGCAGACCAGCTGTGCAGGGACAAGCCAGGCCGATTTGTCCAGGACTGAGGGAGGTTCCTGGCACATAGACCTTCCGGTTTGAAAAGGGAGGAGACTCTGGGCAAACTGGGAGGCCGTTCTCCGATGGCTGCAAGGCTTTTCTCACCGAATCCCGCTTCCCTTCTGGGCCTCCAGCTGGCCGCGGGGGTTTTGGCTGACCGTGCAGTGCTCATGCTGAGCACCTTAGGTGAAACAGGCTGCATGTCTGGAGAGTCAGCTCAATGGTGTGAGATCCTACCCAGCTTGCCCCCAGTGCGGTGCTGGGCCCTCGGGGGTGGGGGGAAATACAAACATGTGGGCGGATGGGCCCCTCCCCTTGTCCAGGCGAAGGCTCGCCCTGGCTGGTTGCACGCACCGCTTCAGCTCCGGCTTCCTTCTCAAGTGACTTTGACATCTGCCCCCATCTGCTGCTTTTCTATCCGCCGGGAGCATTCAGGATTGCCGGCCCTGCTTCCCCACGGCCTGCCGTAACCCCTCTGTAGCCAGTAGCAATCCTGCCTGCGACTCCCAGGACAATGGCGAGTCTGATATTTGGTTATTTTCTCGAATTTGAATAGGGTTTGCCAGGGGTCTCCCAAATTGGATGGGAAATCCCAAACGTGCTATTGTGGAGTCCTCTTCCCTCCCCCACAACCCAGGTGGTCTGGACCCTTGGGGCCTTCTACAGGCCCCTTCTCTATGCCTCAGATTCAAGCTCTGTGGCAGGGTGGAGCCCAAGTCTTCACACAGCCAGACCTCCCTCCCTCCTTCCCAGCCTTCCCCCACCTCTCAGGGGCTGTTGTTCCAGCAGAAATGGGGCCTCTTGCTGTCTTCCACGGCCTGTGTCCTCCCTGTTACCACCCTCAGCCTCAGGGAACCTCCCCAAGGATCCCAAGGGGGCAGAACCCCATACTTACATCTGTACCACATCGATCTGTCCCCTTCCCCTGCCCAGGTCCTGCCACCTCTGAGAGTCCAGCAGGCTCAGATCTCCACCCCAGGCTACCATGGAGGTTGATAACCCATGGCAGGCCACGTTTTTCTCCCTTCAACCTTCTTCCCCGGAGAATCTTCATCACTTACCTAAAAAGCCTGAAAACACTTCCTGGGAGAGGCCCTGCCTGCTTCCCTATCCCCAGGCAAGAAGGAAGGACATGTCCTCCCTCAGGGCCACTCACAGGGAAGGGCTGGAACACCTCCTCCTCCTTGGTAGGTCTGGGGTAAGTTTTCAGTTTCTCACTGCTGCCTTCAGCTGTCACTCAATCCTCCTGCTCTGCACTGGCTCCTGATGGCTGATGGTCCTAGGAGCTCACGGTGTGGTGCAGGTGCAGGACCAGCCACTGACCCCACCCCCCTACTGCCCAGAGCTCAGTGAGTCATCGCCACTGCTGGGAAATGAGACTGCTGTAAGTTCCATTTTGCTAGGGGCCGAGTCACTCCCTAGGATAGTGTAGCAAGTGGGCGTGAAAGCTGGACACGGCTGGACAGTGCTGTGTCTGCCCCCACCCAGCAGACAGCATGCTGCATTTGGTGTGTGCCAGGTGCTCTGCTGAGGGCTTTGCAGGGATTCACTCATTTATTCCTCAGTAGCTCTTCACTTAGGCATGATTTTTACCCTCCCCCCGCCTTTTTTTTTTTTTTTTTGAGTAGTTAAGTAATTTGTCCAAAATCGCATCTGAGAAGGGATGGAGACAATCCTGGAACCCAGGTAGCCTGTTCCCAGCACCTGGGATTTGAGTGGATTCGCTGCACCCCCGTCCCTGCCTCTGACCATCCCAGGTCTACAGCAAATCCTTGTGGCCACCCAGACATTAGCCACTGTTGGGAAAATATGATTAAGACAAAAGCTTCTCCCAGGGCAGAAAACCTCATCACAAAGAAAAGAAAGAAAACCAAGACATGACATGCATCACAGGCAACCCACTGAGAGATTGCAAAGACAGAAGGAAGTCGTACCCTTTTATATAGCTAGGCAGGCGCGACCCACACGCACAGCCATCACACTCATCCCCACTGAAAAGGACTCCATGGGATCATTGTTGCACATGGTTCATCCTAAACCCACCTGGCAACTAGGACGACTCTCTGTGTTCACAAATTTGTTTTATATAAAGGAAAAAAACACCTTCCCGTGCACCTGGGTTCCATCCTTCTGTTACTTCCTAAGATGGCTTTTACATTTTGGAGCCAGGCACCTGCCCAATTAGGCTTCTTCCTCCCAGTGAACACTAGGGGCGCTGATGTCCCTGGAATTTACGTCCCAAAGAGATGATGTTTCCAGGTCCTTCGGGAAAACATTCCTGGGTCATAAAGCTGGCAAAAGGCTTATTTCACTTTAAAAAGGATTTACGCATATTTCAAAAAGACAAAGAAAGAACTTACAAATTTTCTAAAGTACATGCTCTAAGAAAAGGGAGGGGGGTGTCTCTTATTTTTAACATGGAGACGGAAGCCTCTTATTTTCTATGTGTCTTGGTCCTGAACCTCTGCACTAGCCTGGCCTGTGGTGCCGCATCCTCCCAGAGGTCCAGCTGCCTCCATCTCCCTCCTGCAAAATCCAGAGTGCTGGATCCTCAAAATGACATTTGACCAGGCACCTCCCTACTCCCCCGGGGCCACAGAAACACCAGAGTCCTTGAGTGCCTGCGAGAAAATGGCACCAAGCTTCCTCTGTCCTCACGTCCTCCTTCTGTGTACCCACTGAGTCAGCCCAGCCTGGTGCTCTCGTTCGCTTCACCTGTCCAGCTTCTCTGTGTGGGGCTGCGGCTTGAGGATGCTCTCCGCCTGGGGGAGTCTCCTCCCCACCTCTCCCTGATCCAGTTTCCCATTCCTCCTATGATCTCTTCAGCCTCAAGCTCCCTCTCCCTCCTCAGGGTGCTCGGAGGTCGAATTTGCGCCCGTGTTGGGGTCTTGTTGCTCACCTATTACTGTATCTCTTGTGTGAGAACACATACTCTCGGGTTTTGGAGTTAGATCCATATTGAATCCTGACTCTGCTACTTCCCATCCCATCTGTGGGGCCTGGATAAGCTCCTTCACCTTCCCGAGCCTCCATCTGACCTTGTGTAGTGTGGTCACGTTAATACCCACCTCACAGGGTCACGGGGAAAACTGGACTAGGTTAGGCATGAGAGGCCCTCCACAACCCAGGTGCAGACAGCACCCAGGGCAGCATAAATTTCCCATCCTGTTCCTCTAGCAAACTCTAGGTCCTTGAAAGATATGTGCTGTGCTCAAGGAGAAGGTGTGGAACTTTATTAATCATGTGGCTAAAAGTTGAGCTTCATTTACTACTGGGAGTCTATAATGTCTGATGGTCTTACCTGGAGATCTTACTTTTCCTCTCTGTGCCCATCACTAGGCATTTCATCTCGAGTGATTTTTCTGCAACGTTTTCTCGCTTTGTGTGAGTTCTGGCATGCTGACTTGTAAAATGAGAGACTTTCATGCATATTGTATGATGCTTGTGCGGCTGAAACACAAGTCACCCACTCATGAATAATCCACATGTTCTTGCCCTTCTCAAAGGATAGTTTCCTGAACAATCCGAAGTCACAACCACCACCTTGAAATCTCCAGGAAGTCAATGTTGCAAACTCACTTAATTTTATTATTAAGTTTTGCCCCATGAAATGTTTGTGAGATGGAGCCAGCAGCTAAGAGACGGACTGAGAAAAGTTTCAGCTACGTCATCAGAGCCCCCAGCAGCGAGGGGTTTGATGTAATGAACGTTGATGTGAAGATTGACACATCCTGGATATTCCAGGACATGGAAGATAGTGCTGAGGAGCGGGAATGTCTTCAGGAAGAAGTATCTGGTCACCCAGACGTGGATACAGGGGTGCTCAGGAGGCAGCTGGAGTCCTCTGAGCAGAAGCTGTTAGCGGCGGTGAACAAGCACGTGACATCAGAGTCCGGGCTGAGAAGCAGGTAGCGGTGCCATTTTGATCTCTCTGTGTGTATTTCTCAAACCCTGGGGCTATAAGAGTGTGTCACCATGGTGTGTTGAATCACACCACACAGCTGGGGAAACTGGCTCACCAAAGGCACGTAACCTGCCAGCACAGTCACTTGCCCTCTGCCCTGCCCACCCTCCTTCCTCTGCTCTGTACCTGCAGGTGAGGCTGCCCAGGCTTCTCTGCTGAATGGCTTCTGTTTGGGTGCAGCCAACAGGAGGCCCTGAAACAGAGGGAGGCAGGGAGAAGCCAGGGTCTTTTCTCAGACTGCTCTGGGTGACTGTTCCATGAAAGGACTGTGTATACAAAGTGACCCAGAGCACAGAAAGGAACCCAGAAATCAAAGGAAGAGGCAGACAAATCTCGTTTGTCAGTTTGGGTGATTTTTTAAGGGGAACTTGCAGATGGAAGCATGGTCATAGGCAGTTTCCATGCAGGTAACCTTCCTCCCCCCACCCAGGACTTATATCCTGGGGGAAAAGCATATGTGCTCTGGGAGGCATGCATAGGTGGCTGAGGGTGTCACAGCCGATGGTTTCTGCCACGACAGGGGTTGTTTTGGAGGAAACTCACAATGAATAGGTGTTTCTACGTAAAGAGATACATCAACTCCACATCTTGGAGGCATTTGTGGACTCAGGGTTAGTCAGGAGTCACGTGCTGGACTCACATTTAAAATAAAGTCAGTCTTGTCCCCACAGCGACATCTCCCATTGTGGCTGTGACTCATAAGTACTCTTGGCTTCCTCTGTGGTCCCAGGTCCCGCTGGGTGTCCTGGCTGCATCATCTCTTCCCTGTGTGGCTGTCCAGCCCCAGGGGCAGAAGTGGCTTCTGGCGGTTGTAATTCGGGCTGCCTGTTATCTCTGTCTGGCCTTTGGACTCTGCTGTCATCTTCGGAATAGGTTCTCTGCATTCGTTTCTCTCTATAGAACTTCCTGGTGTGGGCTCTGTTTGCCCGATGGAGCTGACCCGGTCCGAAGGTGGGGCATTTGAATCCAGATCTTTCTCTAAAGCCCAACCTTCTTCCTGATGACATCTTGACTCCCAGGCTGGCAGAACGAGGTGGGGCCTTGCATATAGATCAGGAGAGCCAGCAAGAGAAAGCTTGCATCTACATCGGGAAAGCCATGCAGTGATGGGTGGGATGGATTCTGACAGGTAGCTCACATCCAGCAGCAGGTGCCTTGGGTTTTGTGGGACTTGCTTATTTTCTTCCACTTGCCTTCGCTTCAGTAAAGGCAGCCCATTGAATGTGCATGCACAGATGGTTTAGTTTTCTTCCTTTTGGTAAAATTTGATGCATGAAGAAATTAACAAATCAGAAAAAGTCTTCTGTTACTCTATGTGATTGTCCACTCTGTCATTCATTCTACAATGCATTTAACCTCCAAGAGTCATATACTAAGTTACGTGAGTTTGCCTGGGTTGCCATGACGATGTACAGTTAGGTCCTCACTAAATGTTGCCCACAGGTTCTTGGAAACTGTGACTAAGTGAAGCAACAAACGACGAAACCAGTTTGCTTTTTGTTTTGCTGTGTTTTGAGATGGAGTCTTACTCTGTCACCCAGGCTGGAGTGCAGTGGCACAATCTCGGCTCACTGCAACCTCCGCCTTCCGGGTTTAAGCGATTCTCCTGCCTCAGCCTCCCAAGTAGCTGGGATTACAGGTGCCCATCACCATGCCCAGCTAATTTTTATATTTTTAGTAAAGACAAGGTTTCACCATATTGAACAGACTGGTCTCGAACTCTTGACATCAAGAGATCTGCCCGCCTCAGCCTCCCAAAGTGCTGGAATTACAGCCATGAGCCACCACGGCTGGGCGCAAAACTAATCTAATCACAGGCTAATTGATACAAACAAGACTTAAGTTCCTCTCCTTGTTCAGGTCACCAAAACATCACCAAACTTCGAAATAAAGACCCCAAACACTTCTAATGTTAAACACTGAAATAAATGTGCAAGACTCAAACAAATTTAAATTTAAGAAAGACTAAAAAAAAAAAAAACTCAAGATGATTGTTTGCCCAGTTGATCCAGGTCAGGGTCTCGGGTGGTGGCTATGTCCTCTCCCGGCAGCTCAGGGTGTGAAGCCTGGACAGGACATTCACACCCACGCGCACACTCACACAGGCTGGGACTATGTCGACATGCCAGTCCACCTAACATGCTCAGCAGTGGGATGTGGGTGGAGACCGGAGTACCCTGAGAAAGCCCACGCAGACATGGGGAGAAGGGGAAAACTCCACAGACACAGCCGCCCTGGCCGTGAAATGACACTATTTGCAAACTTGGGTGACTTAAGAAAAATTTATTTTCTCACTTTCTGGAGCCCACAAGCCCAAGATGGAGGGTCAGCAGGGTCAGCTTCTCCCGAGGCCTCTCTCCTTGGCTTGCGGAGGCCATCTCTGCCCTGCGCCTTGGTCGCCCCTCTGTGCGTGTCTGTGCCTTCATCTCTTACAAGAACCCCAGTCAGATTGGATCAGGGCCCACGCTCAGGGCTTTCTTTCAACTTAATTGACTCTTTAAAAGAGCTTATCTCCAAATATAATCACATTCTAAGGAACCTGGGGGTGAGGCCTTCAACACATGAACTTTGCGGGGGACGCACTGAGCCCATCACAGAAGTCCTGGGTGCTGAGAGCTGGGGAAGGCAGGGCCCCCACCTGAAAGACTAGCAGCACAGCCCATACAGGATTGTATGTTCAACTGTTCCAGAAAGGTCAGTGGTGGAAACAGAAGATCAGTGGACCCCAGGAAGACAGGCAGGGAACCCTGGCCAAAGGAGACCCCTCCATGGGAGGGAGAGACAGAGAGCCCCAGGGGGACACCATGAGCGGTGGGGAGGAGGGGCCTCTGTGGCTGGGCCTATGGGGGAATGTGGGCTCGAGTCCTCTGTTCTCTTTAAAGATGGGGTATACCACCTTGCAGGCGAGGGGCAGTGGAGGAGAAAAGGGAGCTGGCACAGGGCCGGGCCCTCCCATACCAGCCCCATCTTGACCCTCTTGGATCCTGTGATACATAGAGTGACATCATCTTCTTGGACAGATGAGGAAACTAAGGCTGAGGGGATGAAATGCTACGTGATCCAGGGCTGCTAAAAGCAGAAATTCTGAGCGCAGATTTCAGGCAGATGACACAATGTTTGGTCCAGCTGGGGCGGGGTAAAAGCCTGGTAGAGTGTCTTGGATTCACTTTCATTAAAGACTTGAAGCACAAAAGTGTTCCTTCTCAAGATAATATAACAGCCTCGTCAGAAATTTGAGGAAGAAAATCCCACTCCCATCCTCATAGCACTATCAGTTTGCATATTTGTTTCCCATCTAAATGCAGTAAAATTAATAACAGCTAAGCCACTCGCTGACTACTTGTGTGGCACCAAGCCACTGCACAGGCTTGACGAGTATTAACATAACTAATCCTTAAACAGCACTAAAAACACAGTAGAAGCGTCATCCTCATTGAATAGATGGGGAAAGGAAGACACTGGGTGGCTGTAACTTACGCAAGGCCCCACCCTAGCTGCGTGAACCCAGGCAGCCTGGCCCAGAAGGTGTCTCTGCAGCCACGCTGGCCCGTGTGTCCCTCTGCCGTGATGGAGCCTACTGGTTTCCTAGCACTCTGTACAGCACTGTATTGTCATATTTGAAATACTCGTCATTGGTTTAATCAGGGAACAGGTACTTCACTGGCCATGTCATATCTGCGAGTGTATTAGCTCCCCCCAGCTGCTGTAACCCACCGCCACAAGCTTGGCAACCAGAAGTCGGAATCAGTCTTCCCGGGCTAGTCAAGCTGTCGGTGGAGCCAAGCCCTCTCTGAGGCTGGAGGAGAAATCCGTTTCTTGGTCTCCTCCGGTCTAGAGCTGCATTCTGAGCTCCGGGCCCTGCCTCCATCTTCAGAGCTGGCTGTATGCTTCCTGTGTCAGTGCCCACACGGCCATCCCGAGACTCAGCCCTCTCTGTCTCGCTCTCTCAAGGACACTTGTGATGGCTCCTAGAGACCAACCAGTGAATCCAGGTCCATATCCCCATCTTACCATCCGTCCCCTCATCATGTCTGCAGTCTCTCTTGCATTTTAAGGTGACAGTGATAGGTGCCAGGGATTACGGCCTGCATAAACTTGGGGCCATAATTTGCCCTGCCAAAGTGAAATGTGTCATTTTCTGCTTAGTTTAAGATTAGGAGTAGTATGAGAATTACATATTGTTAGCATGTTTATTGTTATAGACCAATCTATAAACTAGAAAAAAAGGTTTTTGATTTTCTTGGCCAGTGTCCCCATATCGTACAGCTCATCAGAAAGTGCTCAGCCTGACTCTGGCTAACTGGAGCTGCTCCTGTGGTCCAGTTTGGAAGAACTTTGATTATGAGCCACAGTCTTTCTTTTCTTTTGAGATGGGGTCTCGATCTGTTGCCCAGGCTGGAATGCAGTGACGTGACCTCAGCTCATTGCACCTCCGCATCCGCCTCCTGGGTTCAAGTGATTCTCCTGCCTCAGCCTCCTGAGTAGCTGGGATTACAAGCATGCACCACCACGCCCAGCTAATTTTCATATTTTTAGTAGAGACGGGGTTTCACCATGTTGATCAGGCTGGTCTCAAACTCCTGACCTCATGATCCACCCACCTTAGCCTCCCAAAGTGCTGGGGTCACAGGCGTGAGCCACCGCACCTGCCTGAGAGCACACTCTTGTCTGCCACCTTTGAGACCTTTCCTCAGGGCATGAGAACTGCAATAGAAGAGGGGACTCTTGGCCTTATTAGTAATAATAATGCGTCATGTAATTTCATCTTCATGACAACCTGCTGATCAAGGTTAATGACCTATTTTGTAGATAAAGATACTGAGGGTCATTGCACTGGGCTAGCCCTGTTAAGACCCTATGGCTGGTGAATGGCAGAGCCAGCAGGCAAAGCTAGGTCTTCACCCAGGGCAGCAGTGTCTGTCCTGGATGTGCAGGTGCCCAGCGTGGACTTGGGGAAGGACTGAGGATGTACAGAGCTTAGGCGTGGAGACTCTAAATGCACTTTCCCGTGTATCAGGGTTTCTATTATACAGGCAAGATTAGCACATTAAGGGGCTTTGGTAACTAGACACCATGGGAGACAGGCCACTCTTTGCAGCGCCTCCCCCAGCAGCCACTGTGGGTCCAGGAGCCCAGACTTTCTTTTTGGACTTTTCCCCTGATCCTGCGCGTGTCTCTTTCTCACATGCTGCAATCAGGGTTCACATCCAATCTGGGTTCATGTCTGCTTGTGACATAGCCCCAGTGTGTCTGCAAGACCATACAAAGCCTCCCTGTGACTCAGCCATTCCTAATAGACAGTTAAGCCACTTCCGGCCTCTCACCTGGAAGAATAAGTGATGCAGATAAATTTTTTTTCAGTTGCAGAAACCTTTTTCTGAATTTCTATCATTTCCTTAGATTTATAAGAATGTAGCTAAAATGGGAGACAGCAGAGCAGCAGGTGACAAGGCTGAGTCCAGAAGTAAGACCGACTCGATTCTATAATGCTGTGTGATTTTGGGCAAAAATCTGCCCTCTCTGATCCTGTTTCTTCACGTGTGAAGTTGGGGTAGCAGAACCCATGTGCAGGCTGGTAATGTGAGGGTTTATTGAAGCCACCGAGTTAAAGCTCTTAGCCTAAATGGCTCAGCCTCGGGCACTCTTAGTTGGCATTACTTGAATTTGCAATTACTGGCTTCGTGTGAGGACATTGAAGATTTCCGATGCAAGGTACCTAATTGTTCAAATGACGTCTTTGAAGCATTGTAGATAATCTTCAGAACTATGTGCATGAATATTATATAAAATGTAATCTTGTCAGAACATAGAATTGGCCAAATGACAAAAAAAAAAAATAGTAATTTGGCCCTGGTATCTGCAAAAATCTTAGGCCATGTTGCCTGGTGCTGTGGCTCACACCTGTAATCCCAGCACTTTGGGAGGCCGAGGTGAATGGATCACCTTAGGTCAGGAGTTTGAGACCAGCCTGTCCAACATGGTGATGTTTCTACTAAAAATACAAGAATTACCCAGGCGTGGTGGCCCATGCCTATAATCCCAGCTACTCAGGAGGCTGAGGCAGGAGAATCGCTTGAACCTGGGAGGCGGAGGCAGCAGTGAGCCGAGATTGCACCACTGCACTCCAGCCTGGGCAACAAGAGCAAAACTCTGCCTCAAAAAAAAAAAAAAAAAAAAAAAGGCTTAGAGGCTTAGACCATGTTGAGTACAACCTGAGCCAGGACCTTCCTGTTTCCATGCTGCAGAATTCAGGAGCTGGAGCTGTCAGAGAGGAATCTCCTCCGGAAGGTGGACCAGCTGAGTGCCCGCATGGCCCAGGAGAGAAGCACCTGGCTCGAGGCCCAGGAGAAGCTGGCAGCGCTGCAGGGGGAGCTGGCCAGCCGGGTACCGTTCCCTTCTCCTTTCCAGTCCCCTTTTCCTCCATCAGGGCCGTGGGGACGCAGCAGCAGTGCAGTTGGGCAAAGATAGTGTAGGGCGGGCCTGGAAGAGCCCAGGCAGGAGGGTTAGAGAGATCCTAAGTTCATGCTGCATGCAGTGACTGCGGGGCCTGGGGTTTGCAGGCATGTGTGGGTGGGGGCTGTGACTGTGGAGGCTGCACCCTTGCTGGAAGCTCTTGTGCCTGAGTATCTCAGCGCCAGACCACAGCCTGAGGACAAGAGTAGGCTGATGCAGGACTCCTGGCATCTGGAGCTCTTATGCAGTTGGGGGAGACTGATCAGAAACAAGTAACTCTAACCCTGGACGCGGGGTGCCGTGGGGCAGTGTGGGATCCCCCATGGCGTGTGTTCAAGGGGCTGGGGGATTTGAGGAGAGCTACAGAGAGCTGGAGCCATGTGAGCTGGGCCTTGCTGGGAAGGGCATGTGAGGCGTGGGTGACAGCATGGGCTGTAGCACAGAGGTGTGGGAGGACACAGAGGGTGTCACCATGCAGGGGACAGAGTGGGTGAGTGGGAAAGTTCCAGAGGGGCCAGGTGGCCAGCTCCACTGCATGGCCCAATTCTGAAGACACTGGGGAACAAACTTTAGGGGATTTAAGTAAGGAAGCCTCAGGGGCAGACAGTCATTGGGGGATGCCAGTCTCCCTGCATGGGAGAGAGAGAGATGGCAGAGGCAGGGGGAGAAGTTCAAAAGCTTACTGGAGAAACAGCGGGCAGTTAAGGGTGGGGGCTCTGGAGGCAGAAACCTGGAGCCAAACTCTGGCTCTGCTACTCACTAGCTGGGTGACCTTGGGCAAGTGACTTAACCTCTCTGGGCCTCAGTTTCCTCATCTGTGAAGTGGGAATGATATTGTACCAATCCCTCAGATTATTGTGTGGGCTGAGTTGATACGTGTAAAATACAACAGTAGGTATTTAAATGACACTATCTGCTTTTATAATTATTAAGCATTACTGAAATTTTCCAGGGGGAGGATGATGGGGGCTGGAGAGCAGGCCACTTTTAGGAAAGGCTGCAGAGGCAAGACCCACATAACTCCAAGGTAGCTGCATGCGGTACCCAGCGGTCCCTGGAGCATCCTGTTTTAGTCTGCTGCTACTTAAAATGCAGCCAGAGATTTTCAAACTGCAGGTTGCAACCCAGCTGGATGTGAGATTGATTCAGAGGCTCACAACCAGCGCTTAAAAATCAAAATAGACTAAGAAATATAAAAGCACAATGCATGTGCTAGAGGGAGTGCTGTTTTGAGAAACTTGTTTCAACCGTACACAGGTGTGTGTATAACAGCCTGACGTTCAGGGCTGTTTCATGCGTGTTTTTTATAGTGGGAAACTGCCAACGAAGCTGGAAAAGCACTTGGCACAAGTCTTTGGTGAAATATAAGTGGAAGTGGAACGATAAGGATTCCAATTAAATTGAAAATAGTCCCTGAGTTGCTAGGGGGATGTCTGAGTGGAATTTTCCCCCTTTATACTGAACTTCAGGTGCAGAAAATCAAGCTACTTCTCGTCCTTGGCTCATAGCACCTCATCATTACTATCCTGAGGGGCGTTTTAAACTCCGGTATAGTGGCGTTGTGTGGGACTCCGCTGCCACTGATGTGATGCCTCTGTGGAGAATGCTGTCATAGATACTTTTTGAGCCATGCCTGTGTGCATGCAGGATTTCCGAGGTGAATCTGACCCAGCCCTGTCATGATGCTCACAGTGTGATGGGGGTTAAAGGATGAGGGTGACAGCAAGGGGCATGCTGTTAGGGAGTGAAAGCTACTGCAGGGACCAGCAGCTTCTTCGGGGGAACACTAAGCCCTTTTCCAACAGGTCCCCTTGTTAAATGTCTCATGTGCTGTGTGTGCACCTGGGAAAGACCCGTCGCATAACCCCATTTCCAGATGGGCAGCAGATGTTCACAGTGAGAGGGTCTCTCGGTTGCCACTTGGCCCAGCCGCCACCCTGCCCCCAGCCCTCTAACCCCAAATCTCTTGCTGCAAACATCCGTATTTTGAAGTGACTTTTGCAGGAGTGCATGAGCGAGTTTGCCGTGCCCTTCGCTCCCATATGTACCAAATGGCAGCTGTGCTTCGTTGCTGTCGGTGTTTCCAGCAAGCATTTGCACGTGAGGGTGCCTGGTTTCTGTGGTGACCTGTCGTGATTCTAAAAGCTGCCAGAGGCAGACCGTCCAGGCTCTGAAGGCCCTCCGCCGGGCACCGTGCAAAGCTCATCACAGGATTCATGCCTTCAGGAAGACCGGGAGAACTCTCCTCCCAGGGAATCTGCCCCAAGTTCCCCAGAACTATCAAAAGAAGCTTGTCTGAGCTGTTACCAGGTTTCCTCTTTCACATTTGCTCTTAGCTTGTTTTTGTTTTCCGGAAGCTCCCTGGCAAAAGAGCAGCAGCAAGTGCTGACAGTTGAAAGAAAGATGAACATAGAGGCAGTTCTATCCATTTGCTCGAATTAATTCTGAAAAGTAGCCAACGGCTCTAATTTTCGTAGTGAACGTTGCACCCCAGTCCAACTCACGGCCCATGAGTGGGAGGAGGCAGATGTGTTCTCTGGCCAGGAGGGTGGCCAGATGAGAAAGAAAAGGGCTGAGTCAGATACAAGGTGTTCGGCATCCTGGCCACGGTGAATTTTAGCTGCGTGGTATGCAAGCCACTGGAGTGTCCTGCAGGCTAGTAATGCTGCTCCCTCCAGGTGGAGTGTCCACAGTCATGACAGCTGCTGTGGCACTGGCGTTGTGACTCACCTGCTGGGGCCAGCTGACCCTGGCTGGGCCAGGGATTGACCCTGTAGGTGTGAAATGGGGATCTCTGGGCAGTGCTGGGGTGGAAGTCGGGACACTCGGGAGGCTCCGGAGCAGCTGTGTGCACGCAGGTGCGGACATATTGAGTATCCGGACATCTCCAGTGGTCCTCAGGTGTGTACTCGCTGATGGCCATCCTACCACCTGCACAGCTCCCTTCCGGAACTCAGGGAGCTCTTGAGGGTGCAGGGCCCAGACTAGGATGGATGAAGTGACAGAGACACTTAGCTCCCGTGCGAAATTTAAGAGGCGATAACACTTCGATGCACTATTTTAATGCACAAAATGCAAAAACGCACCTTGCACGAAATATGGAAATGTTAAGTCAAGACAGAATCAATGTGAGCCACGGTGTGTCCTTCGGGCTTGCTGACACCCTCATCCACCGCCGACTTGTAGGTCCGGGAGAAAGAGAGCTTGGCCAGGCGGCAGCGGTGGCGGCTGCGGCGGTTGCGGGAGCGGCTGCTGCGCAAGGACGAGGCGCTGGGGCAGCAGGAGGCGGCCCTGGAGCATTGCCGGCGGACTCAGCGGCGCCAGCTAGGCCTGGTTCGCCAGCAGGAGCGCGTTCTGCGGGCGCAGGTGCAGAGGCTGGAGCGCGACGTGCGGCGCCTCTGCCGCGCCGCTGGCCTCCTGCTGGCCCAGTGGGACACAGCGGCCCCGGGCCCCCAGGGCGCCCTGGAGGCGGCTGCTGAGCTGCGCGCCCTGCAGGCGAAAGCCGAGCGCAGCGAGCGTGAGCGGGAGGAGGCGGCGCGCAGGCTGCGGGAGCAGGGAGCCACCGAGCGCCGGCTCCGCGAGCAGCTGGAGGAGCTGCGCTGCTGCATCTACGGACTGAAGCTGTCGGAGATCGGCCTGCAGGGCCAGGTGGAGGACCTCGCCCAGCAGAACCAGTGCCTGCGAGAGGAGCTGGGAGCCCAGGTCCTGGTAAGTGGCCGGAACCCAGGGCAGGAGTGATCTTTTGCTTTTCTCTTTCTCCTCCAGCCACTTGATCAAGTCATACACCCATCCAACCCTGCCAGCCCTGTCCTTCGTCCTTCACTGCATCCACCCGCTTCCCCACCCACCCTCCCATCTAAACTCACACAGTCATTCAGTGCACGCCCACCTCACTACCCATCCACCAACCGTGTCCACCCACCTGTCCATCCTCAGATGCACCCACTTACACGTCATCCACCATCCATCCACGTACCCACCATCATTTTCCCATTCATCCTAACACCCGCTCGTCCATCCAGCCACCTGTGAATCCACTTACTAAACCACTTGTTGAAATCCGTTTGGGTTTTTATAACAAATACCATAGATAGTGGCTTATAAACAACAGAAGCTTATTTTTCACACTGTTGGAGGCTGGAGGTCCAAGATCAAAGCACCAGCTTATTTGGTGTCTGGGGAAGGCCTGCTTCCTGGTTCACAGACGGTGCTTTCTTACCAGGTCCTCAAAGGGCAGAAGGGAGAGGGAGTCCTCTGTTGCACTAATTGGTAAGGGTGCTAATCCCATCCATGAAGCTTCCACGGTTACAACCTAATTACCTCCCAAAGACCCCGACGCCTGACACCCTCACACCAGAGATTCCAATTTCAACATACATTTGGTAGGGGAAACACAGCTATTCAGACCCTAGCACTTGCCTACTCACTTGCCTACCCACTTTCCATCATCTTCTCACCACCCCACCTGTTCATCTATCCACCCCTCTGGCCACTGGCCAGGCAGCCAGCCAGTCACCTCATGTCTCACTGTCCACTCACTCTTGTTCACGCATCTGTCCACCATCCATTCATCCCTGATGAGTGCCAGGCCCTGCGATAGACAAGATCATCAATGTGCTGTGCCATGGGACTCTAATGTGCTTGGGAAGTCCAGTCGTTTTCTTCTGGAAGCAGACACCTCTTCTCCCAATTCACCTGTAGCACCAAAGGTGACAACGGTTCCCTGGTGGCAGTTCTGTGCATGCATCTTCAGTTTTTCCTCTTTAGACTGTGAGCTCCTTGAGGGCAGGGTCTAGGTGTGATGGTCTCTGTAGCCCCAGTCCCTGCAGCAGCGCACAGGAGGGCCCCAGGATGGTGGAGTAGAGAGCATGCAGGGTAGGGTCCCTTTGTGGTTTGCATATTTACTTGCTGTGTGACCTTGGGCAAGCTTCTTAAACTCTGGAGGGCAGGCTGGACATGGATTGATTCACTTGACTGAGCGGAGAGTAAAAGCTTACATTTTGTGTATTCCTGCCATGTGCTTGGCTCTGTACTGGGTGTTTGCAAAGACGTTATTTCATTTAATGCTTATGGCGGCAGGTGGTATTAGTATCTTCCTTTTGTGTTTGAAGAAGCTGAGGCTCAGAGGACAGCATATTTTAGCTGTTGTCACACAGCTGTTAAGGAACTGAACTGGAATGTGTTTAAAATTTAATGTGAGTGCAAGCTTTATCGTTGCCTCTGTAGCAGCCTGCCTTCTGCAATGGAAACACTAACCCAGCTCCTGCAAAGAGATCCAGAGCCTGTCTCTCCCCTGTGGCTCCATTTGCATTTAAGGAAAAATAAGTGAGCAACCTTAGCCCAAAGAGGATTGCTCATTTTTTTGAAATAAAATTTATCTTCAAACCTGGACAATCCATTTGAAACCACCTGAAACCTTAAGCGGTCTGAATTTTCTCAGGACGATGATGTGTGTCTTGTCCCAGTTATCTTAGTAACGGCTTTATTTGTGGTCAGAGTTGACATTTTTACTGTTTTATCCTCTATTCTTGCTCTTGTACATTTCCTGTTCGTTCTTCTTTATGTTCAACAAAGTGTATAAAGTCGGCATCTTGTGATTTTGGAAAATAAATTGTGCATTGATGGAAATTGTCATTTAAAATTACTCTCTGTAATTGTCCTACACTTAAGACTTTAGGCTTTAAAGTCTCACTTTAAGTCCTCCCAATCTCTCCATTCATCCTTTCTTCCTCTTGTAAAAGTCCCAGTGGCCCAGGGAACTGCACCTCGTGTGGGGCTTGGCTTTCAAGGCTGCACTGGAGGCTCCTGTGCACAGTGACACTTCTCAGAAATAGCTGACTGCTATTTCTTCAAGATGCTTATCTGGGAGAAAGCATAAGTACCTATGCATTAGGAAGTACCTGCTCATGCCTTGGTCACGCTGTCTTCTCAAGTAATCCTTAGGGATTACTCAAACCTGTGCTTGTGAGACAGGTGCTGTTTACCCACTGAACAGATGGAGAAGCTGAGACCAGGGAGGTTAAGTGAGGTCACCACAGGCACCAGCTGCTAAGTATCCCAGGAGCAAAAGGACATGGCCAGAGCCGAGCCACGACTCCTGCCTGCTGCCTGGACGTCGAGGTCCTGGGGCAGAGTTTGTTATTGAGGAGCTTGGGGCAGCAACAGTGGCTGGATTTAGTCGATTCTATGCCATCAGCTCACTGGTTCCTTGTCAGTGACCTTCTCAAGGTTTCATGCTTCCTCTTCTAAAAGTCCCAGTGGCCCAGGGGAACTGCACCTCACGTGGGCTCAGCTTTCAGGCCGCACTGTAGGCTGGCCTGCACAGTCACACTTTCCTTGAAAGCTCCCTAAACTGCCCATTATGTGTGATCCCCAGCCATTTCTGCCTCAGCCTCTCATTGGCGGAGTAGCTGAGAAAACAGGGTTGCAGCTCAGGAATCTGTGGGGTGTAGAATGCTGAGCCTTCAGCACTGGAGTGGAGCAAGATGCTCAGAGGTGCAGGTAGGAATGTGAGTGGAGATGATGGAGGATCCAGCGCAGCTCTGCCTCCCACCAGCCTCGGCCAGGCTCCTAAATTCTCTGTGCCTTACATTCCCAGGTGTGAAACGGGATTAATACTGGGATGATGGTAATAATGGTGCATCCTGGTGTGGGTGTGAGGATGAAATGAGAAAGTAGAAAGAAAGCTCTTAGCTCAGTGCCAGTATATTTTGATGATCAATCTAATCTAGCTTCCGTCACTGTCAGCATTATCACCATCACATCACCATCACCATCACATCATCACCATCGTCATTATCACCATCACATCATCATCACCATCACATCACCATCATCATCAGCATCACAATCACCATCATTATCACCATCACATCACCATCACCATTACATCACCATCACCATCATCATCACCATCACATCACCATCATCATCACCATCATCATCGCCATCATCATCATCATCATCACCATCACCATTATCATCACCATCACATCATCATCACCATCACATCATCATCACCATCACATCACCATCATCATCAGCATCACCATCACATCATCATCACCATCACATCACCATCATCATCAGCATCACCATCACCATCACATCACCATCACCATCATCATCACCATCATCATCGCCATCATCATCATCATCATCACCATCACCATTATCATCACCATCACATCATCATCACCATCACATCACCATCATCATCAGCATCACCATCACATCATCATCACCATCACATCATCATCACCATCACATCACCATCATCATCAGCATCACCATCACCATCACATCACCATCACCATTATATCACCATCACCATCATGATCACCATCATCACCATCATTATCACCAGCATCATCACCATCACCATTATCATCACCATCACATCACCATCACCATCATCATCGCCATCGCCATCGCCATCACCATTACCATTACTATCACCATCACATCATCACCATCACCATCATCACCATCATCACCATCACCACCATCATCACCATCACCACCATCATCACCATCACCATCACCATCACCATTACTATCACCATCACATCACCATCACCATTATCATCACCACCATCATCACCATCACCACCATCATCACCATCACCACCATCACCATCATTATCACCATCATCACCATCATCACCATCACCACCATCATCACCATCACCATTACTATCATCATCACATCATCATCACCATTATCATCACCACCATCATCACCATCACCATTACATCACGATCATCATCACCATCACCACCATCACCACCATCATCACCATCACCACCATCACCATCACCATTACTATCACCATCACATCATCACCATCACCATTATCATCACCACCATCATCACCATCACCACCATCATCACCATCACCACCATCACCATCATCATCACCATCACCACCATCATCACCATCACCATCACCATTACTATCACCATCACATCATCACCATCACCATTATCATCACCACCATCATCACCATCACCACCATCATCACCATCACCACCACCATCACCATCACCATCACCATTACTATCACCATCACATCATCACCATCACATCATTACCATCACCATCACATCATCACCATCACATCATCACCATCACCATTATCATCATCATCACCATTAGCACCACTGTCATCATCACCATCACCATCACCATCATCATCACCATCACCATCACCACGATCACCATCATCACATCATCACCATGACCATCATCACCATCACATCATCACCATCATCATCACCATCACCACCATCATCACCATCAGCACCATCACCATCACCATTATCATCACCACCATCATCACCGTCACCACCATCATCACCATCATCACCATTGCCACCATCATCACCATCGCCACCATCATCACCATCATCATCACCATCACCACCATTATCACCATCATCACTATCACCATCACATCATCACCATCATCATCACCATCATCACTATCATCCCCATCATGACCATCACCATCACATCATCATCATCACCAAGATCACCATCACATCACCCTGACCACCATCATCATCACCATTATCATCATCACTATTACCGTCACCATCACCATTGCCACCTTCCTTATCATCTCTTCCTGGGCTTGTGGTCATCTAGTAGGATGTTGGGTAAATCACCCTCATTACCTACATTGTAATTTTCTCTCTCTTGGCT